GGCGCGGGGAGGGGGAGAGGCGGCGGGAGGGGGAGCGCCCGGGGAGGGCCGCCATTGGCCAGCTGCCGCCGGGAGGGGAGGGCGGGGGGCGGGCGAGGCCGAGCGCCCCGCTCCGCCGTGCGTTCGCCGCGCGCGCCCGCTGCCCTCGGGCGCCCGGGAAACTTCGCGGCCGGGGCGCGGGGAGAGCCGGCTGGCTCCGTCGGCAGCACGGTTCCCAGACTGAGGACGGGGGCTCCAGGTGAGAGAAGGGCACCCACCCCTTACTTGGGGAGGTGTGTGAGGTCCGGTGACTTCTGAACGCCGAAGAGAGCCTGTTGACTCGTTGGTCCGCACACGCCTTCCGGGGGCGCCGTCGGCGCGGCCAGGCAGCCCGGGTGCCGGGGTGCAACCGAGAACGGGGCAACGCGGCCCCTGCCCCCAGCACCAGGAGAGGGTCGGGACCGACGCACGCGGCTGGAGGGGGGGGGGGGTCAAAGTCAGCTTGAATAGGGGACTGTGCGCCAGCAGGCTAATTCTCGAGGCCACTGTGTGAGGTCATGCCCACGTTAAAGGTAGAAAATAGGCTTACAGAGGCCGAATCAGCCAAGGTAACACAGCTCGTGAGGGGCCAAACAGGGATGGAAATTCAAGTTTCCTCTCAGCTCATGTTCTTCCACCGAGACCCTTTGGCGAACAAATAACCCCCAATGAAGCTCCTCCGAATTCATCCTGTAGTTGCTGAGTCCTTGCCTCCCAAACTCCTACCTTTTCCCTCCCATGGGCTGCTAACCTTGCCCGAAATAATAGCTAACAACAACCAAACGAGTTCCTTCTGTGAGTCAGAAATTGCGCAAAGGGCTTTATAAACAGCATTTCACATAGTCACAAAACCCCCATGGGTTACTACACTATTCTCATTTTAGAGGTGAAGAAATTGAGGGCCATGGAAGGGACGTGGTCTGCTGTAGTTTAAACAGTTAATAGATGACGAAGCCAGAGCTGAATTCAAAAGGGCAGTAAAAGAGAAGTGGGGTAAGGGGTAGAGGGGAGGAAGAGGAGGAGGAGAGGGCTTAACCACTCAGTCATGTTGCTGATATGCCCCTTCCTTCTCACTCGCTTTGGACTGGATTCCACATATGAAGTGGTCTCCGGGCAACACAGATACCCCATCTGTTTACTACGAAGATTTGCCAAAAAGGTTTGGAGTTTGTGTGTGTTGGGGGGCGGGAGGGAGTGACTAATAGTTAAGAGTGGGGGATGAAAATGGAAATGAGTAGTTAGGAGTCTGCTAAGGGGAGCCCGCAGGCCAAATATGGGTAAGAAAGAGCACATCCAGAGTAGATGCCCCCCGCCCATGGATTTTGTTTGAGAAGACTAGAAATTTCGTAAGAACTCCATAGGGCCAGTTGCACCATCTGCAGTCAGCCAGTTTTGTTCCTACTGCTCTTCCTACATACACAGTCTAAAACAATTGGAAACAGTTGTTTCAAAAATAAGCCATTATGCAACTTAACAAGGGGAGGGGGAGAGAAGGCAGTTATCAAGTACTTAGTATGTGACCTGACATTTATGTATATAATCTTGTGTGTGAAGTTGCTTAGCCTCTTCAAGACCTCACTTGTCGTTGTAATCTGTAAAATGGAGCCAACAATATCTACCTCGGCTGTTTGTTACCAGGACTCAATGAGACTTCGTAGATAATGTATCTAAGGCAGTCTGGCACATCATAATCTCTCCACATGTATTAGTTATATTTCTCAGTGCCCACGCTAATTAACAAAAACAAAAAGCAAAGGTGAAAGTTCAGAGGTTCTCCGCGGAGCCGTGGTCAGCTGTCGCACAGTCTTGCCACTCTCCGCAGCACCCCTCCTCTACATAGCCCTGCCTTTTTGAACTCAGGAGCTGCCATTTTATTTGCTTTGGCCACTGAAATATGTGCAGAGGTGATGTGTGCATTCTGGGCAGGAGTTTTCAGAACCGTTAGAGATTTGCCATCTTGTTTGTTTCCTTATACCACCACGAATACAATTTATTACACAGAGGCTACTCTGACAGCCTGGGTCCTGGCATAAGACTGATGAAGACCAGGGGCACCTGGGTGGCTTGGTCTATGAAAGCATCCGACTCTTGATTTCAGCTCTAGGTCATGATCTCACGGTTTTTGGGAGCGAGCCCTGCACGGGGCTCTGCGGTGACAGCACAGATCCTGCTTCATGTTTTTTCTTCCTCTCTTCTCTGCCCCTCCCGTGCCTGTGCTCGCTGTCTCTCTCTTAAAAATAAGTAAATAAACTTAAAAAAAAAAAAACATATTGATGAAGAGCAGAGCAGCAGCTGGACTTTATGAACATGGAACCGAGCAAGAAATGATTTTGGGGTTGCAAGTACCTGCGACTTTTAAGTCTTTTGTGACTGCATCGCTTCTCGGCCTTTTGGCTAAGATCAAGTGTAAGTCTTTTGTGACTGCAACGCAATACAACCTGGGGTGATTCATACGAGGATTCATACAGCTAGGAAGTAACTGAACCATGATTCTGCCTGAATCTGTATGACCTCATTGTCCTTGCATCCTTGCTCTTTCCATCATAGTCAAGTAGCTTATGGCTATAACATCTCCTGCTTAATGATGATAATTATAATAGCTTATATTAATTCAGTTCTCAGTGCATGCCAGACATTGTGCTGAGTGTTTTAAATACATCATTTAAACCTCACCTCAAATCCCTCTTTTATGGATAGTGCATCCAGGCTTAGAAAGGCTAGCTACCTTGCCCAGGGTCATCTAAACATAAACATCTACTAAACGTGGCTCTTTCGACAGAGAGAGTGATTTATTTACGCTGTTGCCCACTAGCATTTCATTTGAGCTGGGGAGTGGACACAGCTGAAGTGTGATTATTGAGCCTGTCCCCCTAGGTCTTTCTTCACACCCAACATCTCTCCTCACTAATATGGTGGCAGATTTTTCCAGTCCTCCAAACACCATGTGAAGGAAGCCAGAATCGTGGCAAATGGCAAATGTGTCATCGCTTAGACAACAATTACACATTGTCACAGGATGCTTTTCACGTTCCGGAAATGTATGAGCTTCCGACAGCTGTATCACCAAAATAACCCAGAGTTCCGTATCACATTTGCAATGTTAAATGTTTCGTAGACTTTGGGGTTAGAACCTCTGTCTTCAGACCCAGAGATAACAGTGGGTTCCCTAAAGAACTAGGCTGGGAGAAGTAGGAGGGATGGTGTAAACACTGCCACAATATCATTCTCAGTGGCTGAGGGTGACACCTTCTCTTCTGCCACAAGACGACAAAAGATAACTTCTTTCTTACTATAACAGTTTATTACATTGGCTCAACAATCATGTTAAGTAGGGTGAGGCGTAAGCAATCCATTTTAGTGGCCTGTATTGGTTATGTAAATCAGTTTCCAAATTCTTCTTTTATTTTCGACCAGGGACTTAGGTTGATGAAGACTTCCTTTGATGTGCCAAGGCAATTCATTCATTTACTGCCCTGGTTCTCAACAGAGGGAGGTTTGGGTCCTTCCCTCCCCACGGAGACATTTGGCATTGTTTGGAGACACTTTAAGTTGTCACGACTGGGTGGGGGAAGGGGGAGTAGAAAGATGCTATTGGCACCTGCTGGCATCCAAAGTGTCGCGGCCAAGGATACTGCTCAACCTCCTACAATACAAAAGAAAGCTGCGCGCAATAAAGATTTTTTCAAAAACTGTCAGTAGTGCCTCCGTTGAGAAACCTTGACTTAACAAGTTAGGACTTCAACAAGTAATTCAACAAGTAAGGACTGCATGCTTATTATGTGCTAGTACTGTTCTCGGTACTATAAAGAGCTTGACAAAATCCCTGCCTTCACAGAGTTTACACTGTAGTGGGATATATTACAAATCCAATATGTTCCAGGTCAACATGTGGTAAAACAAGCAAATAAAATTTAAGTTATAAAAAGGACCATTTTGACTCTCACAGGGGATCAACATTACAAAAACTGAAGTACCAAACTGCAGTAGATGAACTTGAATTATTCACGCAATTAAATCTTGCTCTCAATAACAGGGAATAAATAACATGCTTGGGTTTCATCTTCCTATATGTCTTCTGGCAAAGAGGAAAAAGTAATTTAAAATTTTATCCATAGCACCTTAATACAGGAGGAAATACTATCCATATGTTATGACCTTTAAAATACCGGAAGTAAGTAATGAGTGGAAGTCAAATGTCATATATTGGACTCTCTGCTTATGCTGCTAACCTAAACTTTCCAAATCTTTCCTTGACTAGTGAGTACAAAAGCAAAGCCCAATAGCATGTCTCTGTAATTATTTGCTTATAAATTTGGCTTGCATGGGGCTGGTACACGGTCGAGGAGTTGGTGTGGAAATATTTTCAAGAATTCGAATTTTACAGTAAGTGGCAGCAATATCTGTCAACACACAGATCAAGTAAAGCCATCTTTATTTATGTTTCAGTCTTACATGGCTGCAACATAGGGGCATTTGGGTGGCTCAGTCAGCTAAGTGTCTGACTCGTGATCTCGGCTCAGATTTTGATCGAAGGGTTGTGAGTTCAAACCCTGCTTTGGGCTTTGTGCTGGGCTTGAAGCCTACTTTGAAAAAACTGGCTGAAATACAATATACAAGGATGTGTGCATGTTTACTTGGCTTGAAACTTCATCACAAAATAAGATTTCATAGGCGTCTATGGAATTACTAGCATTCAAATAAGATCATTCTTTTTTTATGAAATGTTTACTTATTTATTTTGACAGAACGCATGTGCATGCGCACACACTCATTGGGGTAGGAACAGACAGAGAGAGAGAGAGAGAGAGAGAGAAAGAAAGAAAGAAAGAAAGAAAGAAAGAAAGAAAGAGAATCCCAAGTAGGCTCCATGCTTAGCATAGAGCCCCATCAGGCTCCAAGTCAGGATCATGATATCATGACCTGAGTTGAAATCAAGAGTCAGATGCTTAAGTGACAGCCACCCAGGTGCCCCAGGATCATTCTTAATTAATAATCATAACTGACAGGGGCACCTGGGTGGCTCAGTTGGTTAAGCATCCAACTCTTGGTTTCACTTCAGATCATGATCTCCCGGTTCGTGGGTTTGAGCCCCACGTCAGGCACTGTGCTGATGTTATGGAGCCTGCTTGGGATTGTCTCCTTCTCTCTCTGCCCTTCCCCTGCTTGTGCATGCTCTCTCTCTCTCTCTCAAAAATAAACATTAAAAAAATAATCATAACT